CAGTGAGACTTGTTCTTGCAAATACTGGCACAGCTCATGCATCCCACAGTAGATAACTGTCCTTAGAGGTCACAGAGACAGCACTAGTACTCCAATTCCAGAAAGCATGCCCACTTTAAAAGTTCTTTAGCCTTTCTTCTGCACCTTCATCCTGCACTTCCCAGCAGCATCTCTTAGTTCTCTCTCCCAAGACCTCTGTCATCACAGAAGGTGGGTCATCTTCCTGAACCATCTGTCCCTGATCTATGCAGCAAGATCCTCTCATCTTGGCATTCCACAGCCCTGCACCTGTGAAGCCAGAGTACCGATTCCAGATGACAGGTGCTCAGCCCTCTCTGGCACTACATCCCTCTGCTGCAAGGGCTCTCATGACCACCTCTTGAGTTTGCCTCGCGTACTAACTCAGATCCAAACGAAAGGTCACTGTGTGTCTCACAACTTCATGTGCAACAGCTTTCTCACAGTAGACTGGAAAGATGGTTCTAAAAATTTGGGATGCACCTTAAGCAGTATGGCCATTCACGGTATACACCAGTGCTTCAGATGCAAAACTCAGTTTACTAATATGAAATCCCTGATCTCCAGTATTTGAGCTGAAAAAATGATATTGTTAGCTGCTAGAGCCTTATCATTTTTTGGGAGAGCCACTAACCAGCAACACTAAATAGCTTTTTAACCCCTGAAAAACGCTGACTTTTAACTACTCCATTGATATGTTCATATACCCACTGTTCCATTGCCCGGGCCGTTGGCGCTCCCCTCCTCTCCCACTGGGCAGCTCAGCCAGCACAGTTTGCAGTTCGTTTGGTGCTGCGGTGGCCTTGCTAGCTCACATGCAAAAGGCTGGTTACTTGCTAAACACTAACGAGTCCCACATGCAGCAGCAGTGCTTGGCTCCCGTGCAGTGCATGGCAGAGGCTGCTCAGGAGTACAGAGTTAGCTTACTGGCTGAGGAGCATATATATTCAGGAACGATGATCCTTTGGAAAAAATGAGTGATTCCCTTTGCTCCCAGGTCTTCAAAAGGGAGCTCTGGCAGTTAAAGAGACGGATAAAGAGAGATATATCATCTGTACCCGTAACTATCTTTACATCTTATTCAATGATTTGTCAAGCCAGGACTTCATTGTCCTCTGAAAGCCTCTCTAAGTCAAAACAAGCCCTGTTCTTTCAATTTCTTACAGCCATAGATGTCTGATTTTGGAGGGACCTTGAAAGGTTATCTAAGCTGAGCACCAAGAAAGCTCATGTCTGGAGATGGATCTGCAGCTATTGGATTCATTTATTTTTAATCACACTCAAATCACCAGCAAATTTCCAGGTGCTCTACAGATACAAAAAGTGTCAACAGTTCCTAGTGCCCATTGCCTGCTTTGTGATGGTTATTCACCTTTCACACTGAGCTTTGAATGAAAAAACACAGTAAAGTATACATAGAAATGTAGTCGCCACATCCTAGAAATGTCTCTAATTTGGACAGTTATTTTCTCTCAATTAGACAGTTTGTATATTTGCTGTAAAAAAGCAAGTAACTGTCTCCTTCAAATCACCAGTTAAAAAAAAATACGTAATCCATTCTTGATTCTTTAAATTGTGATTCTTCAAATGCTGATTTTTCAGAGTTCATGATTTCTCTGAAGCTCTAGGCAGACTCTTTCAGTATAGGACTCTTATAAGAAACACAAAAGAAATAGAGCATGAGAAACAGAAAAGAGAAATACAAAAAGACATAACCAATAAGGCAAGGCTCACAGGAAGACTGTGACATTTACCTATCCTGTTGGGACACAGGTATTTGTGGTTTCCGTCTTTTCACAGAATCTTCCCAGGAGAGGACTACAAAAAGTGAGAAAGCAGCAGTGACAGCTGATGAGTCTTGTTTCCATCCTGAAGTTTTTATCTTCTGTTGAAGCAAGCAACCCTTAGCAGTCTCAGTAGATTAGCAGGGAAGGTATTGCAGGTAGTACATTATCTGCTTTTGGCAGCATTTTGCGTTGTTAATCCACTATTCATGTAGCTGCAAGCAAACCTTTTCCTCATGTGGATAGCAGCAGTAAGAAGAAAATAGAAATCCTAAAAGACAGAGGATTAAAACCTGATTAATATTTATCCTTCATAAAAGGAGTCAAGAGTCATCAAATACAAAGTTGCAGACACATAATTATGCTGAAGAAAAAGCACAGATTACCAGAAGCAGGAAGAACATAGGATGCAAAGGATCACTACATAACTTCCCTACATAGACTTTCCAAGACTTCCCACCAGACATATGGTGTTGCTAGAGACAGAATATTAAGCCAGATGGACTTTTGATCTCATACATATTCAAACATTGTCATTATTTGTGGTGAAATTTGACAACGTGCCCAAAGCAAAGCAAAGCATGGACAGTCCTCAATAAAGCATTTGGGACAGAAAATTGCATGGAAGTGCAGTTTACTCGCTTTTTTTGTACTAGCCTTTCTCATAGAGGTTTAAATATTTAGCTAGATGTAGACATTGTTGATAGTCTGAGTGAGGGATACCTTCCAGTGAGGTCAGGTATCAGTCTTTATCTGCAGATCAGATGTTGCTCTGCAGTTGGCATTGCTAGGTGGGCCACAAATACCACAACGAACACCAACTTGACTTGGAAGGTGGTAGTATGGTTCAGTGTTGATACTCAGTGGTTTTTTTGCTCTCTTCACAGAAGCTGCCAAGAAATAAACCCCCTCAAAATAGTATGGACTGTGGTGACTAGCTTCTTAAGACAGAGCACATGGACCCCACTCGAAGCTCATTCTTTAAGAAGTCATCTGCAATATCTTATAGAATCATAGAATCATAGAATCATAGAATCATAGAATCATAGAACAGTTAGGGTTGGAAGGGACCTCAAAGATCATCTAGTTCCAACCCGCCTGCCATGGGCAGGGACACAGTCCCTGAGAGTCTAGTCTTGAGACTAGACCTAGATTTGCGTTCACAGCGTTGTGCTAGAAGTTTCCATGATGTATTGTCACAGCACCACTCTCTGTTATTTATGTTTTCTGGCACTTGAATGCTGCTTCCACACTTCCAGGCAAGAACATTTCCCTCTGCGCCCACAGTCCTTCTGGCACAGTATGCACTATGGCCAGCTCCGGGTGGAGGCACGCCCAGCATTGTTTGTCCCATGATCATTCAGACCAGAACACCTCAAAAAACATGCCAAGACTCCCTCCATGCCCACAGTCTTGCATTTACCCACAAGTCTTATTCCTGGATTGCAACACAGGAACCAGATCAATGTAAAAAAGCACCTGCTCATTTTCTAGATAAAAATTACCAGAAATACAGTATATTCATAGCTGCCAGGACATCAAAATGCCATCTAAAAGACCTTTTTCTGTTCTTTTTGAGATTGAACTAGATGGCTGGGTGGAGAATGGATTGAGAGCAGCCCTGAGGAGAAAGACTTGGTGGTGTTGGTTCACAAGAAGTTCAACATGATCCAGCAATGTGTGCTTGCAGCCCAGAAAGCCAACTGTATTGTGGGCTGCATCAAAAGACGTGTGGCCAGCAGGTCGAGGGAGGTGATTCTCCCCCTCTGCTCTTATGAGACTCCGCCTGGAGTTGCCCAGAGCAGTTGTGGATGCCCCCTCCCTGGAAGTGTTCGAGGCCAGGTTGGATGAGGCTTTGAGCAATGCAATCTGGGAGAACATGTCCTTGGCCATGGCAGGGGGGTTGGAACTAGATGATCGTTAAGGTCCCTTCCAACCCAAACCCTTCTATGATTCTATGACTGTGCATTTAGAGCCTACCTCTATTATTCTTAAAAAAGTTAGGAATATTCTTTTATCATCATTGAAGAGAAGAGTGTGAAAGGTCTTTTGTATGGCTTTGTATTGCCATACACTCGGTTTTACACAGATGATAATGCAGAGAGCCAGATGGTCTGCCAGGACGCCTCTTTGCTTGGTCTTTGTAAAGCAGAGCATGGCAATGGTGAGATCATCTTTGCAAGCTGCTGTAAAGACCATGAGCTTCCTGGGAAGCAAATAGAGCATGACTACTTCAGCCTTAGCTTTATTTGGCTTCCTGTGCTCTGAAAGTTTGACCTTTTAGAGGCTTGTACATTGCTGAGGGCTTTCCAATTAGTATGGTCTTGGCAACACTCGGCCATCTCAAGGAAGTGCTTGGCATGGTAGAGGACACTGCCTGACACCTCCACTGCAATCTGAGAATTTCTCCATGAGTCATTAAACGCTCCAAAGACAAACAGGGTACTTTAGAAACAGAGGTCTGTGAAACTTGTAAACGTGCAAACTACTTGGGGCTTTAATACAGAACGTAAAGCCAGTTGTGAAAAGGAAAGGACACAGAACTGCAAAAATTGTATGTGTTTATCCCAGTAATCAAGCTAACAGCTTGTGCTATGCTGAGGGGTATTATTCCTCCTTCTCACTGCCAGGGGAGAGAGACTTTTTGGTGTCCACAACACTTCAGTCCTTAGTTTCTCTATGAAGAATGGCAGCAAAGACAGCAGTGGTCGTGGTATGGTGTCTGGGCTTCTAGAAATGAAATAGGACTATCCTTCTGCAGAAGGCTAAATGTCATCCTTAAGGAGTCAATAAAAGACATTCTACCAAAACAAATCCACACTGTGGGTCCTTCACTGGCTACCTGGAGCCCCAGAAAGTAGATCCTAGCAAGCCTAGAGGCTTCTCATGACACTGCCTGAAATGTTGACTGGTTTAAAGACAAATAATACAACTAAGCACCTAGATTTGGGGTTCAGGTGTCTCAAGGGAAATGTTTTTCACATATGAAGAAAATTCTGAGGGTACACAAACAAGTTAATCAGTCACCTGGTAAGTGTTTTCAAATTTTTTCTGTGATGTGGAAAGCTGACTGCAGGAAAACATCAGAGGCAAGTCTATGAATGCTGAGAATTTCTGACAAACTGCTCACACATAAGACCAAGATACAGACATGAAGGAGACAAATGACTCTGCTAATCTGTCATTTCATTTCCTCAGCTCCATCACCCTTCCCAAGGGTTTCGGTTTGGAACCGTGCGAGAAAGCAGCGCAGAAGACTATGTGAGGCAAAGCTTCCCAGAGATGCATGAGTACATGCGACGGTACAATGTCCCTGCAACCCCGGATGGAGTAGCATATCTAAAGTGAGCCTCTGCCTGCAAGGGTAGATCTGGTCCCTCGATCAGAATGCATGGCAGTGAAATGGTGATGAGTTTCCCACTTTCAGTGTCACTTATCCAACAAAACAGTCTTAGAAGAGAGTCTGGCAGATAGAGAAGAAAGCACGTAATCACCTGGAGGGAATGATACTTGGAGATAAAGCTAGTGTAGCACCAGCTGGAGTGTTTCCAGGGGAAGCAGTGCTTCACACTAACTGCTAGGGTGCCATCAAGCATGGGCAACATAGAAATCCTGGCAGGTTTCTGTGCCTGGGAGCCCTTCATCAGGCAGTGAGAAACATTCAGAAAAAAACATCACAGTCAAAGCAAAAGCTGCAAGCAAGGTTCCTCAGCATTTTCTGTGTGCTGGGAGGAGAGAAGGTTCTCAGAAAGAAACCTTAAAGCATTTATCATTAAAATGAATAGAAGAAGCATTAGACTGGCAAAAAGTAATAAATACCAAGTCTCCTTGCTTTAGGGAATCATAGCGTCACTGTGTTTCAGAGACATTTCTGCCTAATAATCTGGGGTCACACAGTTGATTCACTTTGCCAGGAAACAGGAGAGGTGATAATAAGCCTGAAATAATTCATTCATTTTACACATAGAAGTTGCATAAGAGATGGCCTGAGAATTTTCATCAGAAGTTGTTTCCTGTTTACATGTATTTTCCCAGACCCATTCTAACGATAATTAAGATACAGGGCAGTTCCTTTGGGTTAAACTGGAATCAATCCTTTGAAATCAAAGAAGTAATGTAGCTTCACATCAGGAGGACACCTGGACCTTTAAAGTGACAACAGTGAAGGGTGCAGTCCCTGGATCAGATGAGAACAGGCATTGGAACTGTTCTTTTATATCATCATTTTATGCAAGCGCGCTGTTCATAAATGATTATGTTATTAACATTCAGTCCTCTGTGTTAATGAAGATTGAACATCATAGAAAAAAGTTGATCTGAGTGAAGGAAACTAATTTACCTCGTATTCAAGGAAAAAGGAGGAGAAACACCTTTGTACGAGTTATCCTCCTGCATGTTTGCTTTAATGAGAAACCAAGACGGCGCAAGTATTGTAGCAATTTTTTTTTTCCAATGAAGCTTTGTGCTACCTTTCAATTGGTCGAAGTCTAACATACTGTAGTATTTTCTGTCTTTCAGATCAGTAGTACTTCATGGGAGCAAAATAAGTCCTACCCCCACTGTCCTGCTCTAGATGCACCAAGTTTGTATTTCATGCACAATTCCTTTCTTCAAAATATAAATTGATTTTATGATTAAAAAAGCAGTCCCTGGTCTCTGTTTTCATTCAGTAATCTTCCAGAGAACTGTACAGATAAATGTTCAGTGAGCATCACTGAGTCTTAAGACTGTGCAGTGATTCTGTTTCTGACTTTGGTGTTGAATACAGGCATGATCCAGAGAAACTCGATGCCTTCATCATGGATAAAGCACTCTTAGATTATGAAGTATCAATAGATGCTGACTGCAAGCTTCTAACTGTGGGAAAGCCCTTTGCCATTGAAGGTAATAATCAGTTTTATAATATACTGCTCTTTTTCTTATGTGTTGCATTTGCTCTATTGTGATTTGGTATTCTCAATGAAAGTATGCAGGTGAAGCTGTGGACCTCTTGAAGATTATGGTAAAATTCTCAGTGATTAAGCAGAACCACCCTTTTTTGTGGTTTTTGAACTTTCAGGTCACTTGTATCATCTGTTGCCATGCTCTATATAGGAATTATTCAAAGTGCTGAGATGGTCCATCTCCAAACAAGTAGGAGACACCATCTACTTCACTGCTCACAATGAAATAAAGTAGCTCCTGAAATCAGGGTTGGTTTTTTTAGGCTGTCATTACACATGTTCAAAACTCGGTGGAATATGTTCAAAATGCTGTTCTACAGTTTCACTTTCATCTGAAGCAGATAAATACTGTTCCCATTTGAAAGGTCAGTTTATGATTCCTGCTCAATTGAAGCTAAAGAAGGAAGCCTGCCCTGGTACCAGCCTGCCCTGGTACGCAGTCTCCTGCAGCCCTGGTGTATTAGCAAGGACAGACCAGATGGCAGCTTGGAAGCAAAGGTTGTCTGAAGCTGCCCCCATCACGGGTGAGCCCATTAGCAGCTATTAGACTTCAGGAATCACTTCTGAGATAGATGGCCAATGAAAATGATTGAAGGTCCCTCTTTCCTCCCCTCCAAGGGCAATCACTCTGGCTGCTCCCATTGCACATTAAAACAAACTCCTTCAGAAATGTTCAAACCTGGTTGAGGAAGGCAGTGTGCTAAATGAAGGCCAGAGAAAACTGAGCATTTTAATCATTTCAGCTACAAGTCACCAGCACTAGACATTTTGTAGAATGCTGCTTTTTGCTCTCCCTCATCAGTGTCTCCCATTTTAATTCACACCAGAGACCTCAAAGCAATCTATTTTCTTCTTTTCTTTTTGTTATCGCGGAGGATAGGTGCACAGAAAGCTGTTCGGGCTGTAGTAGGATTTGTGTGGGTGCAGCTGCATGTTTCACCATGTGCGTGCAACCTGATAAATCATCCATTTCAGAAAGGTCAGCTCTGCTGAAGTAAACCGTCAGCTTCCACAACTTCTAATCGAGTAAAGCAAATTTCAATACAGGAAAAAAACAATAAACCCCAAGCCATATGTTTTTACATAACAGGATTTCATATCACCTAATTATGAAACACTTAAATATGCTGAAAATGTGGTATTCATGAACCCTAGCTATGCCTTCTCTGAAACCATTCCTTCAATGTTAGCAAATATATTCAGGTGGAAATACAGGCACAATGTACAAAAATCAGCAGCAAGGGAGACTGTTGTGTTGTGGATGTGCATATCACCACATCACTCTGCATCCTTTACCAGCAAGCCACTGTGATGGCAAATATACCACTCATACATTTATGGATATTTTTTTCTTTCTTCCTATGTTGTTTGTTTTTTTTTAAGGAGACAGTCTGAAATTCTGAATTCTGAACTGAAAAACAAAAATCCATAGTGGACTAGAAAGGAATCTCTGCAGGCAATTGGCAGGACATCTCTGCATGCAACTGCATGTCTTCCAGGCATGAATTGTATTTGTTTTTCTAAAGTCAAAACCCAGATTCTGCAAATTGAAAGACGTATTCGGAGTTACTGAATCCATTTTCACTTACACTAAGTCCTTTACCAGCACTTTAACGTGCAACACAGTGGCTAAAAGTTGTATTTATTACTATCTGGTGGTCCACATCACTGCCAGAGCAAAACTGCACAAGTGGAAAACATAGCCCCTGGGCTTTAGATTGCTATGTGACAGCAATACAGACTGGTCCCACATACATTTACAAGCACACAGCTTCTCATCTGAAAATACATAGGAAGAAAAGAAAACACCTGACATCACAGTCACATCCACTGATCTAAAAATGTGAAAGGGTCACAGAATGGTTTACTTGACATTAAGGTCCTTCTTTTTGCATTTCTAAAACAAGGTAAAAAAGAAGAACTCATGGCAAGGGCGTGCACAAGACTGTGTTTCTAGAGATAAGACACATTTATTCATTTATCTGTACCTCCATCTTAAGCTTTTGAACCTCAAATTTACATATTACTTTTGTGGCCTTAGTGATTTTGAACTTACATATCCCGTTTGTATTAGGCTATTTTATTTTGCACAGCAAAAAGTCTTGTCTCAGCATTTTCAGTCTACAGTGAGCCAGCATGCAGGTTTGAGCTGGCTTGCTGAAACAGAGTGCCTCCTTTATCTGCCACACTGGTAGTTGATAACTGAAATTAACATTCTTTAGCAAAAAGCAAACAAGTTAGAGAGATCTAGATGATTGTACTGATTTTCCTTCTAGGATATGGTATTGGTCTTCCCCCCAACTCTCCGCTCACCTCAAACATCTCTGAACTGATAAGCCAGTACAAGTCCCACGGTTTCATGGATGTTCTGCATGACAAATGGTACAAGGTTGTTCCGTGTGGGAAAAGAAGCTTTGCTGTCACGGAGGTAAGCGATGAACTTGGGTCACATAAATGAGGATTTGCTAAAGTTGCCCATTATTTCTCCTCATTCACAGTGTGCAGTAGATACACGCACATGACAGAGATGGGCTGCAGCTGAAGGGAAGCATTAGGCTTCAAAAGCAAGAGATGCTAAGCCCAGCAGCGTTCAGATCAGAGCACAAGAAAAACATCAGTAAGACCATGCTGTGAAGTTAGGCATGCAGTGCATGAATCAGAGATCACTTCTGGAGATAAACAGGGCATGTAACGTAGCAGTAAAAAAAGTGGTCTGGCGCAACAAATCTGTCTGACTCCACTCAATTATGTGTGTCACCATCTACAGGATCTCCCAGTGATTCTGGACCATCTCACACGGGAGTGATAGCTAAAATAGCTAACACAGAGACCAATAAGAGAAAAAGAAGCAGAGAGGGTGGGAATTTAGCACCCCAAATTTCTAATATAACCCTGACTACTTCCTAACATGAGTGGCAGCTACTTGTACCAAAGATAGGACTTCAGCCTAGAAATGGTCCACTAAGATATCATGCTAAAAACAGAAGAGAAGTAGGTCTCACATGTAAGTAGAACTGCAGGAAATGGAAGTAAATCTCCATGGTCTTACATCTGGGTATCAATTCAGAGAAGTTGTGCCAGCTCATGGCAGCTGAAGATGTAGACCATTATTTATGAGAAAAAGACTCATCAGAATGACAGTTCTTTGTCAACTTCCCTAGACTGCCAAGTGAAAAAAGTACTGAGGAATCAAAAGATCCAGCATGCCTGAAGCCTTAACCATACACTTTTAGCTCAAGGTGTTCCAAAAGACGTAGGTTATGTGTTCTCACTGGAACAAAACACATTGGCTAAAAGTATGTTATTTCCTCCTCAGAGCATTCAGCCAAATATCGAACCGACCCTATGTGTTTCTTAAGGAAGTGGTAGATTGCCATTCTTCCCTAAAAGACAAGACCAGTTTCCTAGGGCCCTGACTCCTGCCCTTCAGTGATCAGCTGAGCCTCTTGTCTGCAAACCTCTCACTGCTGACTAAATCACTAGAAAAATTGCATTTTTTAGAGATTAGACAAAAACTTAATTTGATTGCTTTAATACGTAGGTTGTTCAGATATTTCTGCCTCTCATCACATTTTTAGCTTTTTCATTACGATTGTGTCAATATGAAATAAATTACATTTTAACATCGGATATTCATAGAAAAATTCAATTTCTTTTTATTCAACTGTTGAATTCAATTTTTTCTTTTTTTGTATGATTAATTTAACATAAGAAATCACATTTAAACAAAAGTGTATATTCACTGCTATTTCTTATCTAGCTTATCTGAAGATTATGTTATCATCTAACAAGACAGGTATCTGGGGAACTTTCTTTTTAATGTAGCCAACATATCTGTTCCTAACAAGCGCTTCATTCAATGACCTCTTGCTACTCTACATTTTAATACTATCTTTTGAATTAAATCTTAGGAAAATTACCAGATGGTAATGGTATTAATTACCACAACTATCTTAAAACTGAAAACTCTAATAGCAAAGTCAAACTTACCTTCTTAGTAATTCCCCAGTGATGAGACATAAGGATCTTCCTCTGGTCATCAGAGTCTTACTCCAGTAGCTGTATTCAGGGCTGTATTCTCTTTATTCTTAGAGAGTCAATACTAAACGTCTTCCAGTTAAGAAATACAGTTTTATTTCGTACTGTTTTTCTCCCAGAATATATATTTACTCCTTTAGGCCAATGGTCTTTAGAGTGGGGTGCGTGCAGCCTCTGGGGATTTAAGAGATGATCCACTGGGTTGTAGGAAGAAAATGTTAGAACTTCAGTAATATGTATATATATTTAAAAATAAATTATAAATAAATATACATATATGGGAGTGCATATCAAAAAGTTACTGACAGAGGTACACAGTCAAAAGAAGTTTGGAGACCACTGCTCTAAGCCTTACGATCTCAAGACTGTCTCTAGAAACAGGAACTTTTTTTTCTGGCGTAGCTAATACAGTAATAGAGAAGATAAGCCCTGGCTGCGCAAACCAAAGAAGGCATATTATAAAACCAATTGGATTGGTCTTTTTGTGAGGAAAAGCAAACATGAGCAAAGATAGAATAACCCTTGCATTCAAACTGGAGGGAAAAAAATCTGATAGGCAGCGTGTCATTTTTACAATTACTCTTCTGAAAGCCCTTTGCAATTTAAAAATACAAGGAAAGACCATACCACTTTCCTGCACAGATATTGCTAGTACATTATCTCTGAGGCAAACCCAGTTCTTTTGCTTCCCTGGATTTTCATTAGTTCCTTCGTGTTCAGTGATGAAATACTGAGAGTCCTTGGTTTCCAGGTAAGCCTTAAACTTCTTTGTGTTTGTGGCATGAAAAATCTATGACATGGTTTAATTCAAAGATTCCTCAAGGCCTGCCAACAAAGGGAGAGGGAGTGGGGAAAAGCTGCTGCAGTCTGAAAAGTAAATTATGATTTTGTCACATGAATAGTCCATGGCATTCTTTTTTTCTCAGTGTTGAATAGCAGAGGGTCACAGCTGGAAGACATGCTCTCCTTTAAAGTAATTCAGTCTTTTGAGGGTAACCTCCATGTGATGATCAGAAAGGAAGGCAGGTCCAGCTGCTCTGGGGCTGGTTATCTGACTATAGTCCTTATTTGATCTTCAGTTGTGCTAACCTAACATGCATTACAGAGGCCAATGTCCAGAAATCTGGTTCAGGTGACTGAACTGAAGGACTCTAAAAAGTCAGTCAAAGACTTTGTCTTTGAGCAAATCTTCATTGCCTCATGCAATCAGAAAGAGCAAGCAGAAACAAAAAGACACTTGTAAGTCTGTGCTGTTGCGTGTTAAGCTCTGCTAAGCCCAGACCTTCCTTTTTCTAAATTCTTCTGCTTCTACAGCATTTCCCGTGAGCATCCCCTCGTCTTCATCCGCTCCTCTTGGCCAAGAACTTGCAGAGTTTAGAACTTGCAGTTTCACAGCTGGGACAAATTTACTAAACTAAACAGGGCCAAGCAGCGGATACTCTCTAAACCATAGCTTCCCCATCATTACATCAAGAAGCATGGGAGTTATTCCTGGTCTTTATGTCAGTTTGTATCCTTTACTCCTGTACAGCCCAGAAATCTCTGTTATTTAACTCCTTACAGTCAGTAACAGTAACATTCAACAGATTCATTGAAGTGTGGACAATGTTCAGCACAGAAGCAGATAATTCATTTTCAGAAAAGGCTCAGCTTCCAAGTGGGTAGTCATTCACATGGATTATATACCAAAGACCCAGCAATTGCCTTTTGATAGTTGGAGTAAGACTTTGTGTTTTTCTACCTCTTTTTGATAAATTTGATCTGTGGCACACTACACCTGTTGACCAATAGTAATGACCAAAAATGGGAATATACGTAGGTGGAATACTGATCAGTATAGCCTCTAAAGGGGTGAAATATCCATCTTTGGTTTTTGTCATCACCTCTTTAGGCTGTACTTGATCATTATCCACTTGTCACTTCTGCCCACTGAGGTCAAATTTTCTTTAGTTTTGTTTTGAGATTCATCTTCCTCATCATTTTTTTCTAATCTTACATTGGGAAATTACATTTTGTGTGGCAGACCTCACTGCTAGCTCTTTCCGTCTCTCTCTTTTTGGCAGCACTTTGCTCATTCTAAATTGCAATTGAAAACAAAGTTGTCTTGGAAAGGCATGATCCATTCTGGGGCTGGAAAATTTGCAGCGACTGCTCAAACTGAGAAACTAAATAAAGCTGAGTTTGAAAGTGCAGAGCTCACTGGGCTCGACCTGCTCTTTTATATGAACCTTTTCAGCAAAAGCACTTGCCCAAGGCATCTTACTCATCTTACTCTGGCGCCACTGGATCATTGACAGGGTATCCAGCTAACTCAGACTTGGAATGAGTGAGTGAATTGCTGCAGCGAATTGCATCTTACCCTCTCCACCACGAGCAGTTGTTGGTAGCAGTGGCTGTTGACACTGATTGCTAGTCACTAGCAATATCGCTTGAGTACTCTTGATTTAAAATTGTCACACTCTGGTCTCAAAGGAATTTCTTTGTTGCAAATTTGCTAAGTCCCTACTTAGGGCAGAGCATAGTGCAGGAGGGAAGTGGGGTTGGCAGAGTTACATTTGCATATATTACATCTGGACATAATCAAGTGTCATTCGTTTTCAATTCGCATACAATACAATTAACCCTTCCTCTCCCTTACTGTTACTCTCATTAATGCCACTTTAGCAGGAGCTGAGCTCCTAAGACGTTCCCCTCCAGCACATTCCCCTCCACCTAGACTCAGGAGAGACTGCAAATTCTTTCTTTCTGTGGCATTTTTGGGAACTAAAATACAGCGAACTGGCAGCTTTGCAACTTTCTGCTCATGGCAGTGAAACAGCTATGGCGCTGTGGCAGAAGGCAGGGTGGGCAGCCTGAAGAGGCAAGTTGTTTGTCCATTAGCAGTGGTTTTGATGGTTCAAACAGGCAGCAATGATGAGGGTAGGGTGGTTAGGAGATGAGCTGGCACACCGCCGTTTCTCAAGACAGTGTGAAAGAGAAGGGCCCCTCCTGGTCCAGAAATAGCCAGGCTTTGGGAAAAGCTAACTGCATACAGACTGTTTCGTAGCTTTTAAGCTACATTTTCAGAAATGTTACTGTTGAAACTGTATCTTCTATTTCACTTGAAAGGCTTGTGTCTTCTCCATTCACAAGTGTCAGAGGACAACTGAAGCTCTAGAACTTAGAGACTGGTTTGCACATAGGCTGGCAGTTCAATCAGATAACAACCAATATATGGAATAAAAAAATTATATATTATAACGTAACAGTATCCCAGATATTAATATCAACAACTTAACTGATGCTTCACACAAACAGAGGCTAACCTGACATTTACAATAACAGTATATGCAAGCACACAAATGACACCACCCCAAAATGGCCCCATTACTGCAGACCCACCGCTTTCTA